GCCTCTTTCTTCATCTTACGGGCCAGCTGTGATGCTCGCTCCAGATCCTGTTTTCCTTCTGTCACCTGAAAAAGATGGAAAAAGGGGGTAAGAGATGGAGATTGAGATCAGAATGAACATGAGTGGGGATGAATCCGAATATTAACTAAAGATCTAAGCTGATTTGCACATAACCAAGACATACATAACCTTCACCTCTAGTACCTTAAAATCGTGTCAAGCTTGTATCTCTGCGAGGAGACAAGGTGCTATAGTAGTGAAGGTCAGGCAACCCTGGGTTTTAAACTTCACTCTACCACTAATTTGCTAAGTGACATTGGTAGAGGTATAGTCCTCAAAAGACAGCTATGAGTATTAAGTGAGAAAAACACACATACAAAGGCTTAGCCCAATCCTTGGAACAAAGTTAATAAATCAATATATAGTATCTATTATAATTTTGAACAGAAGATATCTTAACATCCTTTCACTGAAGGACTCAGTTTTTTAAAAAATACACACTATAGATATTCTAGCAATGTGAGGGGAAAATAACTCTATTTTCATAATTCCAATTAACCACATAACTTAATATACAGTACTTGACCATACAACCTAAACCTTATTATTATTTTGCTCTTATTGTTGTTGACAGAAAGCAAAATGAACTAAACTAACATTTACAAGCTCTTAAAACATATTGCACATTTTCCCAAGGAATCCTACATGTTATGTAATAAAATCCACAAAAGCCTCTGTGATGGACACTATTCTTTTTACTTTAAAGGTAAGGAAAATGAAGCTTAAAGAGGTGAAGACCAAAACCAAGGTGGCAAAGTCATTGGATTGAGCCCAGTGTGACCTTTTACATTACAGAATGATGCTCTCAATATAAAGCTAAGATAACACTTTAAAGGATATCACAACATAATACATGGAGTTCTTATTTTTATGTGAATATGGGTATAGAAAACAATATCTAAGTAGAAGTGTGATATATGAGATGAAATTTTCTAAGTTTATATAAAATGACATAAAGACTGAATTTTGTTAATAAGTAACATGGAACTATGTTTCTTTTTTCTGGGCCTCTGGGTTCAATTCAACTCTTTCATCCCTCAAGGATTGATTATTATTAAATTCCTTCTTTAAAGTGATTTTTTCCCCACAGAGCTTAATTAAAATTCATGACTCTAAATTAATAGCACCTCAATGCAGACTTTAGGAGACAAACACTTGAATTATATTAAACAATATTTTATATTCCAATGATGCTTGTCTGACTTTGACATGTCCAGGCAGCTACATAATCATTATAAAACTTAAGTGCCACCAAAGATTTATATACAACAGGAAGAAAATAATTCACAGTTCAATTTAGAATAATTTATACTTTTCTCAATCTGATCAATACTTTTTAAGATAGACTGCATATTGAATTAGGCCATATCAAGTTGTAAATCATATACGTAACTGTTTATCCCTTCTCCCTTTGGATATTCAACCATTCCCTCTCAACAGGATCATTCCCACCAGTTATCCAATGCACTCAAGTCTCACACTCAAAAAAGAGAAAAAATTTCCTTCTTTGGTCCTACCTACCCCTAAACATCCTCCTCTCTCCATCCTTCCCATAAAGATCCTCAAAACCATTGTCTTATGGTGCCGTCTTCATTTCTTCACCTTCCATACAGACTTCAACCCATTCCTTTCTGGCTTCTACCCCCATCACTCCACAGAAATTCCCCTTGCTAAGTTCAATAATGACCCCAATGACAACAAATCTAATGGGTATTTTAAAGTAGATTCCATATTTAACTCTCAATACTATTTGAAACAGATGACTCACTCATTCTTGAAATACCATCTTCCCCTGGCTGCCCAGACCTAGCACTCTCCTTGAGTGCCTACCATTTCTTGTTACTTATTTTAGTTTCCTTTGGAAATTCACCTTCCTCAAATTTCTTACTAAATGATGTAATTCCTAAGACTTGGTCAAGGACCCTCTTCCTTTTCACAATATCCTGTTCCTAGGCAATCTATCATCCCTGAAAACTTTAATTACCATTTCTATGCAGATGACTCATAAAATCCATCTCTTCAGCCCAGATCTATTTTCCAGACCTGAAGAGTCTTGTGAGTACCTGCTATTTCCGATTCACATTCTCAAAGGCACTTAAAATGCCAACATGTATAACACACACTTGAGGTTTCTGCGTGCCCCTACCTTTTCTTCCTGCACCCACCCCAATGATGGCACTATCCACATCATCAAGCCAAAAATTCAGAAATCACCCTTCATCTCTGTCTCTTCTAAATGCCATACCTAATCCATCACTAAGTCCTGTTGATTTCACTGCCTACATACATACAGACAGACATTTCACTACATACAGTGAAATTAGCCCACTCACCCCATTCCCATTGTCCACCAAAGTTCAAGCCACCACCATTTCTCACTGAGAGTACAATAATGGTCTCACATCCACTCCCGTCTCTCTCGAATTCATCTTCCAAATTGCAGTGACTGAGCCTTTAAAAGATATATCTGAGTATGTAATTTTCCTACTAGAAACCTTGCAATAATTGCTTGTGGCACTTAAGACAGAGATTAAAATCTTTATCACAAATGCTGACACCAGCAGAGTTTGGTCTCATCCTATCTTCCCAACACCGTGTTCCCTCCACTGGCTCTCTCTGCTCTAGCCACACAGATGTACCATGCTGCCTCCTGCCACAGGGCTTTAAACAAGCTGTTTCATCAGCCATGAAAGCTCTTCCTGTGGTTTCATCCAGGTAACTCCTACCCATCCTTCATTTCTCAGCTTATGCATCACTTCCTCATGAAACCTTTCC